CTCTATCCAGAATGTCCTACATAGATCCCCCTCTGAATAGGTGACAGTGGTAACTAGGCACCATCTAGTTCTTCTGGTCTCATAGTCATATAGGCTGAAGATCGCATGGTGTACCAGTTGCTTGGACTAATTGTTTCCATGAATCTTTGGTTTTCTTCATTCTTCTTTGCTCTGCATGAGGAGAGAACCATTGTTGCATCTAGATGGCCGCTTGCAAGTTTTTAAGATCCCAGTCGCTATTCACCAAAGTAGGATGTGGAACAATATTTTGTATGGTACATTAAGCTAATTGAGCTTGATGTCCCCTCCAACTATGGTCCCGAGCCTACAGGTCCAACTACTCACTCCCTCTGGGTAGTTGGCTGTGGTCAAGAAGTGACTACAGCCTTGTCCCTTGTCAGCTCTACTATATACCTGGGAATTCTTACAGAACATAGCAATACACTTGTAGAAAGATTGTCTGCCAACCCTATACATGATCTTGGGTACACTCCCCCCTGCATAGACATACCTAATAGTTCAGCCTATCCACCCATCTATCCACCCATATATCCATGTTTGCCTTCACTGACAATGCAGTACTGTTTGTGCAAAAGGATTCATCTTTGTTGTCTGTACTTCCCATGTACCTCTCTCTGTTTTCCTCTTCCTCGATGCCACCATGTTGATCACTCACATTTGGTACATTGCCCTTCTCTTCACCCAAATAAATACTTGTCTCTACCTATCTAACAGTATTCCCTCCCCTCCCCTCCCACCCCTGATAACCAACAAAGAAAATTTCCTTCCATAGATAAACCTTTCCTTGACTTTTACAATAACTAATTAATACAATATATGTCCTCTGTGATTGACTTATTTCACTCAGTATAATATCTTCCAAGTTCATCCACATTATGTGGTGTTTTGCAGATTCTAGGTTATTGTTTAGGGTTGCATAGTATTCCATTGTGTGTATGTACCATAGTTTGGTTATCCATTCTTTAATTGATGGACACCTAGGTTATTTCCATCTTTTGGCTATTGTAAATAGTGCTGCTATGAACATGGGTTGTGCGTATGTCTGTTCTCGTCCTGTCAGCATAGAAAAATCTTTAAGGGACTTTAGATTTGGCTACTACTCCAGTCCTTCAGTATCTCCCCCTTAGACCACTCTTTCAAGTTACAGCTTCTATGATTACAGTTTTCACAATTGCAATTCATTACAGTCACAATTAACCCTGTTAACAGCACTCCCAGCTGAATCACGTAAACCTATTAACATCTCCCATCCTCTGAGGTTATCTATTCAGTGGAAATCCTCCCTTGTCCCCCTCATTTTGTGTGTAAGTACACTCATGTGTAAGCCAGTTACTTCATGCTTTTATCTCCCCCATTTTACGTGGGCAATTGCCCATCCTTATCAAACCAGTACTCTGCGACAAGCATGTTCCTTTTATTTTATTGAGTTTCAGGTGAAAGTTTACACAGCAAGTTAGGTTCTCATTTAACAATTACCACACTAAATTATTCAGTGACATTAGTTACATTTATCACAATGTGTCAACATTCTCTTTGTGGTCTGTTTGTTCTTTGATGGGGCACACTTGTTTCCAATTCTGTTGATCAAGAAACTTGGTTACTGTGCAACATACACACACACACACACACACTGTCCTTGTTTTCTAGGAAGGGGGTTTAATTTCTAGCAGGGTATCAACCTGTTTGATTTTTCCTGTTGTGGCTCTTGTCTGGTTCACCCACATTTTATAAATTTGAGTCCATTACAGTTTTGCTTTGTCAGCCATGACTGACCTGGGAAGAATCAGTTCAAAGCCCTGGTCTTAAGTGTCTCACAGCAATAGTCTCAGGGAGTCCTCTGTTCTCTACTGTTCTAGTTTGTTCAACTTTTTTTAAAAAATAAGAAGTTGAGTTCTGCTTCATATTTTCCCCCATTCTATCCAGGAATAAATACTGTGATCCCTGTCAGAATGATCAATGGTGGTAGCTGAGCACCATCTAGTTCTGGTCTCAGGGTAGATGAGGTTGTGGCTCACGTAGATGGTTTTTTTCTCTGAGCTTTTAGTACTTCTTAATGTTTTGCTCCTGCTGAGCAGAGACGCATAGGTGTATGTCTTAGATGTCCACTTGCAAGATTTTAAGACCCCAGACACTACTCACTTCACTGGAATGCAGGTCATGATTGTTGTGAACAATGTTAACAAGCATGTTCCTTGGCCTGAAGAATCTTTGGTTCTGATTGGAACTTTGAGTATCTGCATCCATAAGCAAAGTCCAATCCAGAGTGAGCCTTCAAATTGCAGTCATTTATACCAGCTCACTGTGTCAAACATCTCTGTCTTCAATTGGCAGCCTGGAGCCTGGGCTGTGTGTTTCATAGACTGGGGAAGCTCTGGTGGCATAATGTTTAAGGCATTTGACTGCTAACCAGAAAGCTGGTGGTTCAAACCCACCAGTCACTCCTCGGAAGGAAGATTGAGCAATCTACTTCCGTACTGATACCACCTCAGAAACCCAAGGAGAGGGTTGCTTTGAGTTGGATCCGACTTGATGGCAGTGAGGTTTTTTTTTTTTTTTTTTTTTTTTTTGAGCTGGGAAGGAGGCTTACATGCTGCTCTGGCAGTTAGGTGGAGCCCCAGCGCCTCGTGTAGTCCTGGATGGAGGCCTGGAAGTGCTCCTTGCTATTGAGATCTGGACGGCAAAGGATCACATAGCACTTGGGGAGGAAATAGCCACTGAAGCCGCCACACAGGCTGCTCAGCACGGCCAGCACATTGACAGCGGACAGGTACTTGCCCTGGTAGACACTGGCCACGGTGAAGAAGGTGATCCATGACACGAAGTTGAGGAGCAGGCTAAAGGTGACACACTTGGCTTCATTGTAGTTCTCTGGCAGGTCCTTGCCCAGGTAGCTGCAGACAAAGGCACTCACGGAGAGAAGGCCATTGTAGGCAAAAGACAGCATGAAGCCTAGTGAGTTGGCCTGAGTGCACTCAAGTATCACCAGCTGAGGAAAACGCTGGTATTCCCTGGTGGGGAGTGGCGTCCACACCGCAAGCCATGTTAGACAGATCAGCAGTTGTACTGTTGAGCTGAGCACCACAAACACACCAGGACCGTGGTTTTGGACCCAAGCATGGTAGAACGTGGGGACCTTGGCAGAAAACTTGAAGATGAAGACCAGTTGGAAGGAGCGTATAGTCAGGCAAGACAGGAAGATGGTGAACCCAAAGGCAAAGGGGACTAGGCGCAGCAAGCAAGTGGGCAGCGTGGGCTCCCCAAAGAAGCAATAGAGGCTACAGCTGCCCGTCGCCAGGGAGCCCAGCATGAGAAAACACAGCCTGCCGCCCGCTGACCTCACCACAGGGGTATCGAGGTGCCAGGCAAACAAGCCAGCAGTCCCAACTAATAGCAATAGCAACAGTGTATTAGCCACCACCAACACGCAAGAGCTGGGATCGTGCCAGGTGAAAAACACCACTGTGCGTGGGAAGCAGGTCGGGCTTCCCTTGGGTGCCCATTCTTCTTTGCCACATGGCTGGCAGCTGTAGAGATCTGGAAGGGAAGGTGAAGAAGGCTCCTCAGAGCTGGGAGAGCTATGCCGGGGGAGCTAGGCTCTGCTAGGCCCATTGAGAGAAGTAACCCTGAGTGGGGCCCCTGAAGCCAAACAGCATACACACAGGTAGGTCCTGAATGGTCCCAGAAGGGATTTGCAAACCAAGAGGTCCCTAGAGGGGTTCTGAGCCTGTTAACTCTGCCCACACACCAGTGAGAATCTGATTGGATGGATGCCCCTAAGGAAACACGTTTTCATCACTATCCCAAGTGCTTCCACTACCCAAATCCACCTTCCTGAGTTGCTACTCTGTGCCTTCTCTTGACTCTGAGGACAGAAGAGAGATGAAATTCGTACCCCAGCAGAAATATTAAAAGCAAAGAATGTGGCCTCAGGAGTCCAGCATTGGGCTGGGGAAAGCATTCCTTTAGCTACTTCATTTTGCTCCCTGATCTTAACCTTGTATCATGTCAGTGTCTGCGTTCAAGGTGCTGGCTATCTTTGGCAAGGGTAATAGAAGAGACTTTATACAGATAAAAAGAAAAAAACAAACTTACTGCCGTCAAGTCAGGTCCAACTCATAGTGACCCCCTCCTTGGGTTTCTGAGGCGTTATCACTACAGAAGTAGATTGCCCAATCTTCCTTCCGAGGAGTGGCTGGTGGGTTTGAACTGCCAGCCTCTGGTTAGCAGTCAAATGCCTTAGGCCCTAGGTTACCACAGCTCCCTCTATGCAGATAAGTTACTGCTGTTGAGTCTATTTCGACTCATAGCGACCCCTCCTTGGGTTTCTGAGGCTGTATCACTAGGGAAGTAGATTGCCTGACCTTCCTTCCAAGCTCTATACAGATAGGAGGGTACAAAGGGAACAACAGCTACATCCATTTCCATAAAGAGTTTGACATTAAGATGAGTCTGCACCTGAAGGACAAACCTGGCCTGAAGCTTTCAGTGGGTCATTTCTACCTGCTTGATCAGAATTCAGACTGGTGGCTGGTACCCTATAACCTGTACCTAACCATAGCAGAGTGCTTGGTGCCCTAGGTCTGGGGCCAGGGACATGCATGTGGCCTGAGGCAGGGTTTATTATCTGTACACCCTGGGAGCTGGGGCACTCACCCAGTCACATGCCCACTCACCACTCTTGTTGAGGAAGGTCCCAGCCTCACAGGACATGCATGCAAAGCAACAGTGGTGGACACCCATGACCATGCGCCGGTACCCTTCCAAACAGTCTCTGGAGCAAACAGACTCGGGCATCTGCAAGAGGACCAGGTATTCTGAAGCCACATGGAGGGGCCTAAGTCAAGGGACAATTCACATGTGGAATGTATGTCTGTCCCCATGGCTCACTTCCAATGGTGTGAACCAACACCCACCAGGCATATGACTTCTAGCCTCCGGAACATCTCAGGCAGGGCTGTGTAGAGCATGGTGGCCTGGCATCCGGGGTCCCCCTCCTGCTTTGTGAAAAGTGTCAGCATTTCCCCCAGGCTACTCATAAGCCAGTCACCCGGGGAGGGACTACATCCTCACTACCTTGTTGTTCTTTCCATGCCACTGGATTTTGGTCTCATTGATGTCCAGCTGAATTGGAGACCATGAAGAAGAGCCAATAACCCTGAAGGTCCATTTTGGGCCACTCCAGTCCCAGGCAATTATGTCATAGCCACTGAGGGGGTCCCCATTGTCGTTAAAGGTCAAGGTGTCCTTCTGGATCTGCTCCAGAAGCTGAAAAACAGTGATCATGAAGCCACCACAGAGGACACAGGCTGCCCCTCCTTTCCCCACCCAGGTCCCTCCCTGCCTGGGGCCTCTGTGGGCTTCCATCCTGGGTGGTTTCAGCCTTTCTAGAAGGTCTGGTCCTTGGAGCACCCTGCCCTCCTGAGAAGTACCTCAACCCTCCCAACCTTCCTGAGAGGAAGTCTTTAATGAAGGAGTTCTTTACTGGGAGCCCTGGATCTTGTCCTTGATGCTTTTGAGTCAGGGTGTGTGGGGGGAAGCAAGGTTCAGAGACAAGAAGGGACCAGTCCTTAAGTCAGGCCTTTGTGTCCCCCCAGCACCCTAAGGGTGGCCAGAGAGTAGCCACATTGCTTGTCTCAGGATAGTTATTCCCTTTGATGCAAGTGCCTGGGGTGGGCTGTCTTACCTGCCAGGGGTAGACAGGGCCCACAGAACAGGCTCCCGAGGAGCAGCCTAGGAGCTGGTGGAGGCCACGGGCCACGGTATAGACAGCCTGGTAGACATTGTAGGCAGAACTCATGGAGAAGGCGCCAAGTGTGGGCATCCTGTCCCCCGTGAAAGCCCAGCACTTTTTACAGAGCTGATTGCTACTGCACCAGGAGCCCTGGGGGCATGGTCTGAGTGTTCCCTTGGCTGCCTGGACGTAGGCCTCTTCAAAGTCCTTCAGGCCCAAGACCAGCCTCTGCTGGATGGCCACGCCCAGCACCATGCCAATGCTTTGAATCCCTGACACCTTGGTGATGTGCATGGAGATGGCCCAGTCCTCCGAGGCAACCCACACCTTGTCAGTCAGCTTGGCCAGAACCACGGACTCGAAGAACACCCTGGCCAGCTGCCTGCTGGCAAAAACGACCACAACAGTGGTCCTGGCCTGGGCCAGGTCACGCATCATGCCCTGCATCCTCTCATCACCTGCCTGTGCTGAAAAAGGCACTATATCCTTAAAGGCAATGCAGATACCCTGCTGGGTAGCCTGCTTCTCCAGTGCCTGCACCCCTAGCTGCCCGTAGTCACCATCACTGCCCACCAGTGAGATCCAGACCCAGCCAAACCTCTGGAGCAGCAGCACCATGGTCTCCACCTGGTGCTTGTCGCTAGGAATGGTGCGCAGGAAAGATGGGTACTGCCGCTTAGCACTGAGCATCACACTGCTGGCCTCGTAGCTGATCTGCAGGGAGTTCAGTGCAACAAGGTCATGGGGATGAACCTCAGTGAGAGCTCCAGTGCTGGGTTCTCTGCTCGGTGCTGGAACACAAGGAAAACTGAGACACAGTCCCTGTCCTGGTTCGCAAGGGGAGCAGCACTGAGAAAGAGTGTATGGGGGAGAGGAAGGGTTATAAATGCTGAAGAGTGAGCTTCAGGGAAGGACTGGCCAAAATGTCACAAAGAAGTCATGCAAGATAGAGAAGGACTGAAAAGCACTCATTGGATTTGGGGATTTAGAGAGTACAGCAAGGACAAGAGTGTCCAGGGTAGAACTCAGGGTCAAGTAGCAGATGGAAAATGAAGAAGCCAGCAAAAATAGAGAACTCTGTGGAGAAGTTTCAGTGGAAAGGAGCAGAGAGAGAGAGAGTGTGTGGACAGTGCTGAGATTAGAAGTATCTGGAAGTGTTAGGGGACAAAGAGGGGCTCAGGCAAGCTCACAGGCTGAGGAGGAGCCTTAGGGAGAGACTGAAAAGGCAGATGAGAGGGGGACAGTTGATGGGCTGAGGCAAGGGGGAAAGGATGGGATTGAGCACAGGTGAGAGTTGCCACTATCCGCCAGATGAGAAGAAGGCAGGAGGGCAGCAAGGGTGCATGTGCTTCTGAGATGGGAAGCTAAAGATGCTCAGTTCTTAAGGAAGGTGATGAGACAGCTGGGAGGAGAGTGAAGGGCAGAGGGTGTTTGGCTGAATGCAGTAGTTCTGAAGGAGAATGGGTTTCTCCATGATGGTTGAGGCAGGGAAGTCTGGAAGCAGCACTTGGAAAGGAAGAAGCATTGGGGTAGTGATCCCACTGGGCAGTGAGCCATGTGGCTGGACTGACCTCTGGTGGCCTAGCATCTCCTGCCCACCCACCCTGCCCACCCTGGATTCCCAGAAGGTGAGATGGGCAAACTGTGAGGCCCCTGCTTACCAGGGGCACCAGGAAGGGGCTCAGGAGGGCTGCAGCGGTGGCAGCATGGTTGGTGGTGTCAGGCCCAATCACCGCCACTGTCTTAGGAGAATAGTGAGACAGGTTTCTTTGGATCTGTATGTGTTGTGTCCCCCTCAGGGTGAGAACACTCAGCACAGCATACATGTTGGCGGAATCCGAGCACACATCGTAAAGCTCATAGCCCAGAGTGACATTGGGCAGCAGGGACGTGGAGTTGTTGATCCGCTCAATGGCAAGCCGCATGGCCTGGAAGTGGTGGTAGCCGTGGCCATTGAAGTTGCTGGGTCTGTAGGAAAGCAAAGCCAGAGAGCTGAGAAGGACAGGCCCTGCTGACACCCTCTGCATAAACCAGTTGCCGTCAACTCTTCTCTGACTCATGGAGACTGTATGTGTCAGAGTAGGCTTGATTACTGACTGTGTTCCGAGGAGTTTACTTTTAACTTTTTATTATGATTTGAGTGAAAGATTACCTGGCAAATTGATTTTCCATTCAACAATTCATACACATTTTGTGACATTGAGTGTAATCCCCACAATATAATAGCACTCTTCCCATTTCCTCTCTATGTTGGCCATTTCCATTCATCCTTCTTTTCTATCTCTTCCTGCCTTCTGAGCTTCATCCCTGGGCAAATGCTGCCCTTTTGACCGTTCTAAGGAGTGTAAGTTATTGTTCACCTGGTATATTGTTCACCTTATTCAAACCAAACTCACTGCCATCAAGTCGATTCTGACTCAAAGTGACTTCCATTGGGTTTCTAAGGTGGTAAATCTTTATGGAAATAGATTGGCCCATTTTTCATCTGCAGAGTAGCTGGTGGGTTTGAACCACCAATCTTCTCATTAGCAGTCAAATGCCTTAGGCGCTGTGCCACCAGAGCTCCTTGTTCACCTCATAGGCCTATCATTTGGCTGAAAGTTGAGCCATGGGGTGAGTTCAGTCTCCAGATGGTTTTTAATGACTGATTTTTCAGCACTATATTGCCTTTCTTTCAAGCCATCTCCAGGTGAACTCCAACCTCCAGTTTTTTGGTTAGCAGCTAAACAATTTTTTTAAAAATTGTACTACCCAGGAACTACAAAATGTTGCCACCACTTGCCAGTTTCTTACATGGTTAAATCTACTGACCAACTGTCATAGAGTTGACTCTGACTCATGGTGACCCCATGTGTGTCAGAGGAAAACTGTGCCCCGTAGGGTTTTCGATGGCTGATTTTTTATAAGGAGATCACCAAATGTTCCTTCCTAGGCGTGTTTGGATTGACTTGAACCTCCGACCTTTCAGTTAGTAGCTGAGCATATTAAGCCACCCAGGGACTCCACAGAGACTCTCTGCCCTTTTAGACTCTCAGGCTTTTGGGGTAGAGATGAAGAGCCCCTGGGTGGCACAAACAGTTAAGCACTTGACTACTAACTGAAAGTTTGGCAGTTGAATCCATGCAGAGGCACTCAGAAGAAAGGCTTCTGAAAGGTCCTAGTCATGACAACATTATAGAGTGCTTCTACTCTGCCCACATGGGGTGGCTGCGAGTTGGAGCTGATTTGACGGCAACTAGACAGATAGGGGTAGAGAGGAACCTCCAAGTCATCTATCCAGTCCCCTATAGCCATGGCCTCAACCTGGACCCTGGTACACAGTTCCTGGAGGTGCTGGAAAGGTGAGAGAACCCATGGCCTTCTTTGGAATAAGCATATCAGCACTGAAAACCTTGGAAATCCTGCAGCAGAGAAACTGCTCAACCCTGGGTACATAGTGCTTCTCACCAGATACTCATGAATGATGCTCATGGTCTACGTAGGGAACTGCTGTCTGGAATCCAACAGGCATACGCTAGAGACGTAATTCAGCCCTGTTCAAGGACCATACTAATTCATCCTGTTTTCCAGCCTCTCTACTCATTAGAAAGGAGCTCTGATGGCGCAGTGCCTAAGGCTTTTGACTGTTAACCAGAAGGCTGATGGTTCAAACCCACCAGCCACTCCACAGAAGCGGAACTGTGCAATCTACTTTCATAAGGATTTACGGCCTCGGAAACCTAAAGGGGATTGCTATGAGTCAGAACCAACTCAATGGCAGTGAGTTTGGTTTTTGTTTTGGTCTACTCATTAGAAAGTTCTTCCATTGTTTCTGTCACTTCTATTCTTTGAGACATCTAGAGGAAGCTCAGAGGCCCTGGCAACATGACACCTGAAGCCAGTTTTCAAGTCTCTCTCTCCCTCTCCCCTTCGAACCACCAGCCAACCTCTCTTCCTAGGTGAGTCTTCTCTTCTCACAGCTGGGCTGTCCAGACCTTCTGTCCTGGGCCAACTATTAGTTGTGCTTCCCATTGAGGGCAACCAGTAGCCAGAGCTTCGATTCTCCAGCCTTATGAATCTGTGACTTGCACAGGCCACAAGCAACTATCTTCTTTAAAAGAAAAGCTGTTATTTTGTTCTACCTAGCCTGTCAGTTTTGTGAAGGCACCCACCCAAATTGTTTTTGCTGACCCCCTGAAGCATCTACTGTTGTGTGTCTCCCCTTTCCTCCCTGTGAAGAACCCTACTTGTTGTAGGGGAGACTAAAGAGTTTGGAACACAGGTAGGAATAAGGAGGAGACAGGAGAAGTAAAAGGCCTTTGCTTGATCCTTGCCATCTAGTGATGTTACAAAGCCAGAAAATAACTTGAATGGAATTATAACAAGGACAAAGTAACATGTCTCATAGTGGGAACTATACAGATCTGCCCGGGAAGGTCTAGCCCATGCCTGAAGGTGGCTCAAAGGTGGTGGCTATGGATGGATGGATGAAAGTATTGGCGCCATTAAAGTGAGGGATTGATCCAGGCAAAGCTCCTGGCTGAGGAGGGCAGGCCAAGGGTCCTCATAAGCCCCACTAGGTGATGGTTCTACTAACCCCTCACTCACCTGTCACATACAGTCACCTCAGGTTTGTGTCTCACCCCTGGACAATCAGTGTGGAGAGCGAACAAGCCCGCCATGATGTAATCCCCAGGGAGGCTGAAATCAGGGGAGGACTCCATTTCGTGACAGCCTAAAGCCCAGCAGCAGCAGGCCAGGGACAGCTGCAGGCCAAGCAGGTGAGTGACCCAGGGGAGCATGCTGCCGAAAGCCCGCACCTGGCATGGCTAAATAGTCACTGTGAGACTGGGCTGTTTAAATAGAATACTGGGCAGCTGTCTGGATGCCTAGCAACCTCATACCCATGAAATGGGTGGGACGCAGACCTGGTGTAGAGAGTGGGTGTTTGCCTTGGCTTTCCGGGCCTGTGATCCCCCTCAGGAACCAAGCAGAACAAAGGCTCAATGCAAACCAGGCCGCACTACTGGCCTTCCTCTCCTGGCAGTTGTGGTTTTGAGTTTTTGTTGTTGTTGTTGTTCTGCCAGCCCAGTAGTTTTTTTTTGTTGTTGGTCCATTCAGGCAACAGGGGGTGAAGGGCAGCTGTCAGAGAGCTTCGGGCTCCAGAACCCTTTTACCTGGGCCTGCCTCAGGTTACTGAATGAGATATGACCAGGAGTTGACAGCCCCCCTCATTCCCCAGTTTTCAGACACTGAAATTTTGAGTGTATCATATTGGTTTTATCTGGTTACCTAGAAACTCTTTGCTCTCTTCAGTCCAAAGACAAATGCATGCAAACAGCAAGTATGCAAATAGTCCGGTTTTGTTTAACATGACAGTCCTGGGGCATTCTCAGTACGCGCTGGGCTGCAGAAATCGCTCCCACGTGAGTTTCCGGAGAAGTGGCCCACCCAGCTGAAGCCCGGCTTTCCCTCTCAAGCAAGCCAGAGTGGGCTTTTGCATAATGTAAATGAACCCGCGGGGGACGGCCCAGCCGGTTGTCTCAGAGGCGACTGCCCCCTAGAGGCCGCCCTGGGCTGCCCGGAGCCTCCGAGGGGCAGGTGAAGCCCCAGGTTCGCTTCCGGGGTCGTCAGGGTGCCGCCGGCAGAGGGCTCCAGCGGCTCCGAGGCCGCTCCTTCCTGCGACTCCACGGGCTTCGGGGCGGAGCGATGGGATCTCTCGAGAAATCGCGTGGCAGGCGCCGGCAGCCCAGCATGGCGGACTCCCTGCTGCTGGCCAAGCGGGCTCCCTGTCGCTTCGTGCGGTCGCGGGCCCGTAAGGCCTGGCACCAGCTCATCCTCAGCCGCCGGCTCCGATGTCGCCCTGGGCCCCTGCGCTGGTGCGGCCGGCGGCGGCTTCGACGGCGGCTGCTGCAGGCCCAGGCAGCAGGAGTGGACTGGAAGGAGGGTGGCTGCCTGGTGTCTGCCGCGGCGGTGGAGGCAGCGATTCGGCGTCTGAAGGTTGCGGCCTCCCGTCCCGTCCCAGCCGCGACCCCAGTCCCCGCCCCGGCGGTCCCCGCGTTTCCTCACGTACCGCCGCCGCTGCCGGCAGGCCCTGGCCGCGCGGTGTTACTGCTGCCGCTAGAGCAGGTGGGTCGCGCTGTGGGAGCCCCTGGTGGGCAGAGACGGATGGAGACGCAGTTCGCGGGGAATTGTAGTCGCCCCTTTACCTGGTCTCCAGCTGCAAGTTGAGTCTGTTTTCTCTGGTGGTGGTACTGAACAGCAGGGTACCAAGGCCTCCTGCTAAGGGGAATCTAAACCTTTAAGGGCTGAAGACTACTGTATAGTGTTGTTGTTATATGCCGTCGAGTGGGACCCGACTCATAGCGACCCCTCTTTGGGTTTCCGAGGCGGTATCACTAGGGAAGTAGATTGCCCAACCTTCTTTCCGAGGAGTGGCTGGTGGGCTTGAACCACCAGCCTTATGGTTAGCAGTCAAGTACCTTAGGCGCTACTCTACCAGAGCTCCCACAGTATAATAGTAGTAATAATAATAGGTCGCATCTACTGGGTAGAAATACTAGGCTCTTTTCTGGCATGTAATACTACCAACTTTTTATAGAGTAATAATCACTATGAGTATTCTCATTTACAAAGAAACAAATACAGGACATGTAACTTGCCTGAAAGTTACACACTGAGGGGCAGCGCCGAGATTCAGACCCATGCAGCCAAATTCTTCACCAGGATGATAGTCTAGCAGTCCCCTCCATTGTTAAAGGGGAGAGATTTGGTATTCCCTTGGCCTTTGTGAGGGCAGGTAATAAGAGCCTGTCTAAGCCGTGAGAACAGAAGAGCTGAGTTCATGGGAACCCTTTGCTCTTCATGTAATTAGGGTTCACTAGGAGCTCTGGTGGTGTAGTGCCTAAGGCATTTGGCTGCTAACCAGAAGGCTGGCAGTTCAAACCCATCAGCCACTCCTGGGAAGAAAGGTTGGGCAATTTACTTGCCTAGTGATACCACCTGGGAAACCCAAGGAGTGGTCACTATGAATCGGATCTCACTCCATGGCAGTGAGTTCGGTTTGTTTTTGGTTTAGGATCTTAGGTCAAAAATATTAAGTCCCTGCTGGTTACCTAGTATGATATGATCACCTACTTAGAAATTAGTCACCTTTTAGTTTATGACTAGGGACTTAAGATTTTGGGATTTTTCACTTGTTGACACAGGATTAATAATGTTATTTTTCCCTTTCTCTTTTTCTTTCTCTGCTAGTCTTTTGTTTTTGGCGGGATCTGTCGAGTGACTTGCCTCTACGGCCGAGTACAAGTGTTTGGTTTTACCATCAGCCAAGGCCAGCCTGCTTACGAGGTCTACTCTGCTTATACCAACTCTCTCCTGAGTATCAGGGCAGTTCATTACCCGATGCCTGAGAAAAGCAAAAAGGAGATGAAGAGGGAAGCCCGAACTTTGCTCAGAGTTCATCTTTTCCGGGGTAATCAAAAGAATGAGTGACTTCTGAAGGCTTGCTATCATAAAGCTAATAATTTTTAGATGCTGTCTATGGTCTAGGCATTATGTTAAGCACTTTATATTATCTATTTAAACCCCCACAATGGTCCTTAAAGTGCTGTTTTCCCCCACCTTTTTAACTAATGAGAAAAATTGCCCAAGGCCACACAGTGTGTTGCAAACCCAGGTGGACTTCTCCACTCAGGTGTGTCTTTGTTACGTAATATGACCTCTTAAAAGAGGCTCTCAAGCATAATTCTTGCTGTAAAAAAGTTTATAACTTAAAACTTTGGAGGTTGCAGTACTAAGAGGTGTGGAATTTAGCTGAGTTCTTGTTTATAAGGTGGTTCATTTTTGTGTTCACAGGTGACAGATGTCGGTTGATGAAGTATTTTTCTCCTCTGTGTTCCATTGTGGTGCTAGAACATCTGAAAACATCAACAACAGAGTTCATAATCAGCCATCCAGGTTTATCTTATGTCTTCTTACAAGAGGTAGAACCAGTTTTCATTCACAGTTTTGTCAATTACTTCCACCAAAACATTCATCAAATGGCGTTTGTAGGATGCTGTCTCACCATATTTGTCTGTAGGTCATGCAGAATATAATACATGTATGCAGTTAGAAAGTACTGTAATTTTTTTTTTTACATAAAACGTGCACATAAATAACATTGCATATAATGTATAGCACAAGTAGAAGAATAACAAGCAAGGGAGTTGTGTTGTTTGGGGACATCACACACGTGTATAACGTGCATATTATTTGTATAAAAATGTGATAATATACATATATAATAAAATTCAATATAGAAAGGTGTATAGTGAAAGATATCTCACCTCCCTTTCCTTAGTTTTGTTCCCTAGTGAATGCTGCCATTTTGTATTATAGTTTGTCTTTTGGTTTTTCAGTGGTTATCTTTATGAATTCAGATAGGATACTTAATTTAACTTCTAATTTTTATTTCTTGATTTGTTAAGTTGGTGGTGGTTGTTAGGTGCTGTCGAGTCAGCTCCAACTCATAGTGACCCTGTGTAATAGAACGAAGTAACACCTGGTCCCATGCCATCCTCACAGCTGCTGCTGTGCTGGATTGAGCCCATTGTAGCCATTTTCTCAGTCCTTCTTGTTGAGGGTCTTCCCGTTTCTCACTGACCCTCTACTTTACCTTGCATGATAGAGATCCTTCTCCAGGGACTGGTCCCTTTTGATAACATGACCAAAGTATTAATTTGTGGTAGTACAAATTACCTCCAAAATATGACTGGATAATTTGAATGTACTTAGACTTTCTTCCATCTCTCTTGGCTTGTCCAAATTTTTTCTGGCTATGTTCTTAATTTCCCAAAGTGAAGTTCTATTACTATGATAATCTTCCATGAGTCAATAGCTTGAATCTAAAAGTTAAAAACCAACATGCAGCATTTATAATTCCTTCATTCAGTAGATAGAGTACCCATCATTTGCCAGGTGCTAGGGATACCTCAGTGAATAAAACAAACATTTCTCTCTTAGGGGGGGACACAGAATAAACAAAAAGATAAGTAAACATGTTGTATGTTAGATACCTAGCAAATGAGGATGGCTCGGGACCCAGCAATGTTTCCCTGTTACCTGTAAGGTCACCATGAGGTGGAGCAGTGTTAGATATCTAAGTGCTCTGAAGAAAAGCAGCAGGGAGTGCAGGGGTTAATTTTTTTTTTTTTTTTAATTATGGTTTGGGTACAAGTTTATGGAACAAGTTCATTTTCCATTCAACAGTTCCTACACATTTTGTTTTGTAACATTGATAGCAATCCCCACAATGTAACAGTTCTCTTCCCACTTCTTTCCTGTGGTTACCTTTTCCCTTGTCTTTCTTTCTTATCCATTCCTGCCCTCTGAGCTTTCTCCCTGCATAAATGCTACCCTTCTGATCTACGATCTACGATTGATTGTTTTAAAGAGTGTTTCTTCGTTGTGTAAATGTTCACTTATAGGCCTGTCCATTATTTGGCTGGAAGCCACAGGACTGAGTTCAATTCCAGGTCTGAAGGGTGACTAGGGGCCATAGTCTCAGGGGTTTCACCAGTCTCTTATCAGACCAGTACGACTGGTCTTTTTTTATGATTTTGAGTTTTGTCCCACATTTTTTTCTCCTTCTCTATCCAGGATCTCCAAATTTGATCCCTTTCTGAGTGGTTGGCAGCAGTAGCTGGGCACCATCTAGTTCTTCTGGTCTCTGGGTCATGTAGGCTGAGGGTCCCATGGTCCATTAGTCCCTTGGACTAATTGTTTCCATGAGTCTTTGATTTTCTTCACTTTTCTTTGTTCTGGATGAGGAGACACCAATAGTTGCATCTTAGATGGTCGTTCACAAACTTTTAAGACCCCAGTCTCTACTCACCAAAGTGGGATGTAGAACACTGTTTTTGTGTACTATGTTATACCAGTTGAACTTGGTGTCCTGGGGTTGCCTTCTTAAATAGCGTGGTCAGAGAAGACTTCACTGAGGGGGAGGAGAGGAGCAGGAGCTCAGGCAGCAGGAACGACAGGTGCCATGGGAGGCGAGTGCGTTGGAGGCGGGAAGAGAGGTTCAGATCACACAAGGACTCTGGCTTTTACTCTGAGTATGTGGAAAGCCACTGGGAGGTTTCAGGGGCAGAGGCATGACAGGATCTGGCTTAGGTTTAAACAGAATCACTCTGGTTGCTGTGTTGAGAGTATACTGAGATGTAGAGCAAGAGCAGAATGTGGAGACTGCATAAGAAACTATTTCTAAAATCAAGACAAGATATGTTGGTGGCCTTACCCAAGAAGGCGGGCAGGAGCACTCGAATTCTTGATATGTTCCTAGAAGAACCTGTAGGATTAGGGAGCAGATTGGAGGTAAGGTGTAACTATTGGTCTCTCCTCATCCAGAGAAAACCAGTTTAACCCTCTGCTGAAAATTTGCCCTCCCCCCCAAATATACTGAATCAGAATCTACATTTTTACAAGATCCTCAGGTGAGGAAGTGAGGATAAGCTATAAAATAGAGCAACATGGATGAATTCAGGAGTAGAGTTGATAGGACTTGCTGATAGATTGGATTTGGGAGTGAGGTAAAAGGGAGTATCAGATTTGTATAGCTCACAACTGTATGAGTCATATTAATTTAGAACTGGAGAAAACTGCATTTTTTCCCTTAAAACTTAAATTGTCAATTTCAGACTCCAACTTCCCGCTCAACCTCTGACTATTTAACCTTGAAGTCTGTTGGCATCAGGAGAAGCAAGAGAAAAAATAGCCTTCAGTTAAGTGAGAGTGTCATTTCGGCGGTGGATGAGTTGGTCAGCATTTCTTGTGGTGAGTACTGAGCACTGATAAGTTTGACAGTTTCATTCCACCAAAGCCCTCAAGGAATACTGCTCGTTACTAGCCTTGCAAAGGAGATGACTAATTCTAGGTGTCAATGTTTGTCTCACCCCCAGAGGAAGTAGATGGCTGCCCTGTCATTCTGGTTTGTGGAGGCCAGGACATTGGAAAGTCAACATTTAACAGATACCTCATTAACCAGTTGTTAAATAGGTAAGAGTGCTTTTATTCTTATTGTCACATATAGCTAGGTATTTGGCATGAAGTAGGATTTTTTATTTAAAACGCTTGAGGGAATGCAGGCCGACTTCTAAATAGAGGTGATATACACTGCTGTATAGAGCTGCTTGGCCCAGTGATGTTTTTTTAGTGTATTTGAGAATGAGGTGATGACTCGCTTAGGGTGTACTGACCTTACCTTGTTTGCAGGTGATCTTGTAAGAGAAGACAGGCATTCTAGCCTCTCTCTTTGACCAGGTGCTATTTCTGAATCCATAGATTCAGAGTAGGGATCAATCTTGTTGGACTTTAAAGGTGTAATTTTAGGAAAGATCAAAATGTATCCAGATTATGAATGCATGCATTTTATTGTGCCTTCCTCCCATTCCTCTTTATATTTGTGATTAGTAATCTGCAAAGAGGAAAAGGGATGGTCATCTTTGGTACATTTTACTTGCGAGGCCCAGCATACACTGAATTGTGCCTGTGTATAACCTAACAGCTTTAAGATCTGACTTTTTTACGGAGTATAGCTAGTTTTATGATGTTTTTTTTTTCTTTTTTTTTTTACTTTTCAGTATTCCCTGTATTGACTATTTGGAATGTGATCTGGGACAGACAGAGTTTACTCCTCCTGGTTGTATTTCTCTATTTAATATTACAGAACCAATTCTGGGTATGTAGTATGTGTTTTTTAATTAGCTTATAACATTAGTTTTATAAATTCAAAAGTTACGATTCTTATGAAAAACTATAAAAGCATAAAACGTAAAAAGTGACTATGTGTTCTACCAGTGATCGCCCCGTAACCTCATCTCTACCCTTGAAAATAAACAGTGGGTCTTTCTTGGGGTTCCATTTTTATAAATGGTGCTGCTATGGATTTTGTTTTATGTAAATTAGAAACATAGCGTCTCCTAGTATTATCATTTCACATAACCCTAGTATAATTATTAAATTATGATTAACATTGATAAAATATTAAGGAGCCCTGGTAGTGTGGTGGTTCAAGCACTTGGCTGCCAACCAACAGTATTAATTAATCTGCAGATTTTGTTCACATTCCATCAGTTAGCCCATTAATGTCCTTATTCTTGTGCAGAATTCGGCCTAGAATCCCACATTGCATTTTGTTGTGTCTCCTTAGTTACTGCCACTCAGCATGGATTCCTCAACTTTCCTTTATCTTGCATGACCTTGATACTTTTGAAGTGAACTGGCCTGTATTTTGCATATAAATACCCAATTGTTCCAACATCATATACCTCACTGAGTCGTCTTTCCAAATTTGTGGGAAATCTGTTGTCCATACATGTGTGGGCCTAAATCTTTTTATTTTTTTTTCTTAATTGTGATTTGGGTGAAAATGTATAGAGCAAATTTACTTTCCATACAGCATTTCATATACACTTTGTCTCATGACATTGACTACAATTTATCCCAATGTAGCAGCTCCCCTCCCACTTCTTCCCAATAGTTACCTCTTCCCTGTGTCCATCTCTCCATGCCCCCTGAGCTGTCTCCCTGTGCATAAACAGCCCTTCTTTCTCCCTTGATTAACATTGATAAAATTTTATTTTATTTCATTTTATTGCATTTTCAGTGAAAATTTACACAGCAAATTTGTTGTTGTTATTTGCTGTCGAGTCGGCCCCGACTCATAGCGACCCCTCCTTGGGTTTCCGAGGCAGTATCACTATGGAAGTAGGATTGCCCAACCTTCCTTCCGAGGAGTGGCTGGTGGGTTTGAACCGCCAGCCTTCTGGTTAGCAGTCGAGTGCTTAGGCACTATGCTACCAGAGTTCCTCACAGCAAATTAGGTTCCTATTTGACAGTTTCTACAGAAATTGCTTAGTGACAGTTAAATTTTTCACAACGTGTCATCATTCTCTTTAATTGAATTCTGGTTGGTCTGTTTCCACTACTCAGGTTTCCCTGCTCCCCTATCTTCTCATCTGTGCCTTAGAGTAATTGTTGACCCTTTGGCCTCATAATAGATGGTTTCTTAATGTGCAGGTCTATTTCTGGACTCCATTCTATTCCACTGATTTTTTTTTTTAATCTGTCTTGATGCCAATCCTACCCTCTTTATTACTGTAGCTTTATAATAAATTTTGACATCAGATAGAGATAGTGCTCCAACTTTTTCATTTATAAAATTGTTGTGGCTGTCTTAGATCCTTTGTATTTCCATGTGAAATAAATAAAAAAAAAAAGCCTGCTGGGATTTCATTGAATCTATAGATCAATTTTGGGAGACTCGAGTCTTACGATCCATGAATGTAGTATACCTCACCATTTCTTTAGACCTTTTTGTTCTGAGCAGTGTTTTGTAGTTTTCAGTGCACAGATTTTGTGTATGTTCTGTCAGATCCCTTAGTATTTCATATTTTTATCATATTTCTTTCAATTTCAGTTTGCAATGTCATCACTAGTATGTAGACAATTTATTTTTGTATATTGGTCTTATGTCATGTAACTGATAAACTGGCCTACTAATTCTGGTAGCTTTTTTGTCATCTCCCATTAGATTTTCTGCAGAGGACCCTGTCATTTGTGAGTACAGATGGCTGTGCTGCTTCCTCTCTAATCTGGATCCTTTTTCCTTCTTTTTCTTGCCATCGTTGCACTGACTAGACCCTCCTCCTGGAGTGGGCATCTTTGCTTTGTTCCTGATCATTGGTGAAGAACATTCCTTCTTTTTTTTTTTTTAATTGTGATCTGGGTGAAAGTTTACAGCGCAAATTCACCTTCCATACAGCAGTTCACATACACTTTGTCTCATGACACTGACTACAATTTACCCCAGTGCAATAGCTCCCCTCCCACTTCCTCTTGATAGTTACTTCTTCCCTGTGTCCATTCCTCCATGCACTCCTGCCCCCTGAGCTGTTTCCCCATCTATAAACAGCCCTTCTTTCTTCCATGATTGTTCTCTCCAAGGAATGTATCTACGTCAGGTAAATGTTCACCTCATATGCCTGTCTTTTGTTTGGCTGGAAGCCACAGGTGTTGGTTCAATTCCAGACCTGAAGAGCAGCTAGGAGCCATTAGTTTCAGTGATTCTACCAGGCTCTATCAGACCAGCAAACCTGGTCCCTTTTTTTTTTTCCCCAAACTAATACTGAGTTTTGTTCCACATTGTTTTCCCTCTCTATCTAGTATCTTCTGCATAGATCCCCCTCTGAATGACAGTGGTAGCCGGGAACCATCTAGTTCTTCTGGTCTTATAGTCATATAGGCTGCAGATTGCATGGTGTACTAGTCACTAGGACTAATTATTTCCATGAATCTTTGGTTTTCTTCATTCTTCTTTGCTGTGAATGGGAAGAGACCCATCGTTGCATCTAGATGGCTGCTTGCAAGCTTTTAAGATCCCAGTTGCTACTTGCCAGAATAAGATGTGGAACAATGTTTCATGTAGTATGTTATGCCAGTTGAGCTTGAGTGTCCCTTGAGACTGTGGTCCTGAGCCCACAGATTGAACCACTTGCTCCCTCTGGGTAGCTGGCTGTGGCCAAGAAGTGACTACAATCTTGTCCCCTTGTCAGCTCTACCTAACACCTGGGAATTCTTACAGAACATACAAATACAACTGTAGAACTGTTGTCTGCCAACCCTATACGTGGTCTTGGGTACACTCCCGCTGCATAGACATACCTCATAGTTCAGCCTGTTCACCCTTCTACCCATTCTTTTATTTATTCATTCATTCATTTATTAATGAATGAATGAATGATTTGGGTGAAAATTTACAGAGCAAATTCACTTTCCATACAGCAAGCAGTTCACATACACTTTGTCTCATGACATTGACCACAATTTACCACAGTGCAACAGCTCCCCTCCCACTTCCTCCCGATAATGACCTCTTCCCTGTGTCCATCCCTCCATGCCCTCCTGCCCCCTGAGCTGTCTCCCTGTGCATAAACAGCCCTTCTTTCTCCCATGATTGTTATCTCCAAGGAGAGTATCTACCTCAGGTAAATGTTCAACTCATATGCCTGTCTTTTGATTGTGGCTGGAAATCACAGGTGTGAGTTCAATTCCAGACCTGAAGGGCAGCTAGGGACCATAGTCTCAGTGGTTCCCCCAGGCTCTATCAGGCCAGCAAAACCTGGTCCCCCTTTTTTTTTTTCACCAAATGATTTTGAGTTTTGTTCCACATTGTTCTCCCTCTCTATCCAGGATCTCCTACATAGATTCCCCTACAGGATCCCCTTCCAAGTGGTTGACATTGGTAGCTGGACATCATCTAGTTCTACTGGTCTCATAGTCTTATAGGCTGCAGATTGGATGGTCCAGTCGCTAGGACTGATTGTGTCCCTGGAGTTTTGGTTTTCTTCATTCTTCTTTGCTCTGGACGAGGAGAGACCCATTGTTACATCTAGATGGCAGCTTGCAGGCTTTTCAGATCCCAGTTGCTACTCGCCAAAGTAGGAGGTGGAACAATGTTTTGTATAGTATGTTATGCCAGTTGAGCTTGATGTGCCCTGCGACTATGGTCCCAAGCCCACAGGTTCAACTACAAAGTCCCTCTGGGTAGCTGGCTGTGACCAAGCAGTGACCTCAACCTTGCCTCTT